TGAAGGCCAAGGAGCACGCCGCGCAGCTCACGCAGCTCAACATTATCCCTGGAAACAGCACGGGGAAAGAGGTGTGCTAAGATAAGGCTGCGGGTCTTTTTTTTTGTTTTGTTTCTTAAAAAAAAAAAAAAAAGGAAAAAAAGGAGAGAAAAAAAAAAGAGGAGAATAAATACATGAATAAATAAAGGTCACCTCAGATAGCACGAATCCAAGACCAAATGGGAAAAAAAAACAAAAAAACAAACAAAAAAAGAGGACCAGCGGCTAAGACTGGGGTGGGTTCTCGAGGTAGGAACTTGAAGACAGCGAGCGCCTTTTGCAACAGCCCTCACACGAGTGAACCGACACTTGCAAGCTCCTGAATAAGTAATTCCTTGGCTGGTACATTTTTTTAAATGTACAACGTGTTAATTTCCTCTCTGAGCATTAAACAAAAAAATGCCCTAATAAAATTTATTCTATATTAGCGTTACGTACATTAAATATTTTTCCTTCTGTTCATCTGGCAAGAAAAAAAAGGAACAAATAGAATTGTAATTAAGAAAGAAAAAAAAAAAGAAAAGCAAAGGAGGGAGGGAAAGCTACCCGCTTCTTCTTAAAATAACATCTAAGGATGTTAAGTTAGTCTATTAGGAGCACTGGAAAACTATTTTACATGTTAATGCAGCGAGCTGCATGTTATAACCAAGGATGCTGCCAGTGCAGAATGACAGTAAATTTGATGCTGTAAGATAACCAGTGCACTTAAAGGAAAGGGTATATCTTTTTCTTGTTATATTCTTTATCACTACACCAACCAAGGTTTTTATATCAAACCAAAGGGAAATACACTGCTAGAATATGGACTGTTTAAGTCACTAAACTGTGATTATTGATTCTGTACATACCATTGTTATAAAAAAAGAACAGAGCTTTGTATATTTGAAATGTTATAAAACAATTGCACTCAGTGTAGTGTTGTAAAAGTTTGTCATTCTGTAGATTCTTACTGTGTTGTAGATATAATAGGGTTCCTAGACAAATATTTATGTACAAACCCTTTATTTAACTTATTAACTGTAGAGGTTTCTGAAACCCTCAAGAGGCGATGGTACCGTACTTTTTCGTGTAATGTCGTTATTGTTAACACTTTTCCTTGCTATCCGGTGGAGAAGTGCCACATTCAGAAAATAAACAAAAATATATGTTTAACAAAAAGAACCAAACAAACAAACAAACAAAAAAAAAAAGGAACGAAAGAAAACAAAACCCAAAGCCAAGTGCTGGCGGAGGCTGCGTGGCCGCCCGCGCCGCGCCGCGCTGCGAGCGCCAGGGCCGGGGGCGGCCGGGG